AAAAAAATTTACAAGCTTCTCAATAGCAAAACCGGCTCACATAGATACTCGTTGATAGGACAGAAGCTGGCGGGTATCAATTGGTTCTGCTTTTGCGCGAGCTGCTTGAATTGAGGATCGAAGATTGCTTATTTAAGGCTATTACCGTAAAAGTAATTTCGCAAATTTTAAACAATCAAAATTAAAAGCACATTTAATTCGAATATATGTGTGCATTTGTGTAGGTGCTCGCTGCGTCGTGCATTGTGCCTCGCTGTCGCCGCTTACCTCCTCTCTCCCTAGTCGCCATATTATGCTTTATTAAACTAGTTATTGTATCTGGAATTATAATCAGAAGACGAAGTTCACTCCGCCCACTTTCTCAACTTCGAAATCACTATTTAAATCGACACTGACTATACTTCTTCACTTTACGGCCGCCCGTGGTCTTGTGGCGAAACTGAGGGCCGCACTGGCAATTATCGTAGGCTTCAAACGCATCCGCTGGGACTCACTGCGCATTTGATGGTTTATGTTTTATTATATGATATAAACTGGCACAAATTTTTTCGCAGCAAGTGACGCTGCACTGAAGAAAAATTGGCATGACTCGCCAAGCAGTTTAAGATTTACAAAAGTTATGTGAACTGGCACTAATTTCAAGCAGTACAGGCAATTCTGCATTTACATTTGCTTCAAGGATAAATGGTCTGTGTTTTTTGAAACAGCCTAGGACTCATTTGTGAATTAACAATCCGAATGTCAACCCGCTCTCTTTTTTCATGAAATGCAGAGACACTTAGTAACAGCCATTTTAAATAAGGGATTTCTTTCAAATGGTGACTGAATGGCATATTTGGATGCTGCTTAAAGCTAAGAACTCAGAACCAAGTGGGATCTCAGCCTATGCTTGAAAAAGCTCTGATTATCCACGTTTAACACTCTAATATTAATAACGAATGGGACTACTAGCACTTTAGTAGACCTCAGCATAATGGTATAAAATATTAAAATTATCAATTTTTCGGAAAAATCTACATGCTTTTTTAAAAATGATAACCGTCTTTTTCTTCCACTTGTTCGTCACGCTACTCATCGAAGTCGATGTATAGCAAGTCGGTTCCTTGAAACTGAATGTTTGAATTAAGTTTTCATTGTCTTCGTACACATTTTGTGAATGTATATAAAACTTATATCAAACATTCTGCATTTGTCTTCATTCCATGGCAAAACTTTGAAGTGATTTCAACTTAAAGGTTTTTTTAGACTTACAGCGAATCAGACACACATTATTTTGATTTGATTCCTATTCCGTCCAAAATTTTTCAGTTAAAGATTACTGCGTTGCGGAGGTGTAAACAAAGATGAAACTTCGTTATTCCAGACCATAATTTACTGGATTAGCGGAGTTCTCCTTGCCCGGTACGTGATGTATGTTAGATATTTAGAAATAATTCAAACTTTACAAATCCACTTTAATTTAGAGCGATGAAAACGGCGCATTTTTGGGTGAGTGTGGCTTCGGCTGCAAGCTTCCTGGTCATCTCGGTATCGCTTGTGATTTGTGCGACGCTTTTTCAAAATATCAATTCGTTGTACTACGAAATACTCGGAGACATGGATGATTTCAAGGTAGGAAGGTTTCCTCGGGACAAAAACGGACTCTCCATATGCCTGGGTTTTATTTCTTTGATAAAGAAGGATTTTCTCAGGAGTGAGCTAGGGCTGAATATTGAGAAATATGGTACTCAATTGATGCCGCATTTTCAAATTAATTCAAGTCTTTCAAGCCAGTTCATAACACAATGTATAAGATTACATCCAAATTCCAATCATTCAAGTTCCTAAATGTGAAAACAGCCAGTTTTAATCAACTACTGCCAACGGTGATTTTTAATTTCATCTAAATCAAACTGCCAGTAAGTTACTTTGGCTTTTGTAAAAGAGGGCACCTTAGCATTCCAGCAGGATGACACCTTCTTTCTATCTCAGTAAAACCAGCGAAAATAGAGTTCCTTCACAGAATACTTTCTCTGAAAGAGAATCACTCAGCAATAGGCGGAGTGCTAGCAAATGTTAACAGGAACTTGATGGTACCACTGTCAGTGAAGCCCTGAGAGAGAGAGAGAGAGACAGAGAGGAGTTATCAAAACTTCAGTGACAATTTACAGTCAAAACAAAGTGAGCGAGTCGCGGAGGACTGATTGTCTCGTCGATGGTGTAAAACCGCGGCCATTTGGCACAAGAGCCCCTCAGCTCGCTTTTCTTTTATATCTTGATTTTAGCTGCTTCTATTGTTTCTACATTCAGTTCATTGTGTTTCATCGTAACTGATGTTCCTTAGTTCACAGAGCCAACTTGCATAAATCTGCACTCTTCCAGACAAGTTTTACTCTTCGAGTTCCACCTCTTTGTTTTTTTTTTAATTCAGCCTCGACCTTCTACATCTATGCCATTACGTTCTGATGCTCAGTTTAATTTAGTCTGATTGAAATTCGCGAATACACTCTGTGTATGTTGATTTGAATGAAAGTTTAGACAATTGCTAACGACGCATGGTCCGAGATAATGAACTTTCAAGTGATGCGTGGTAGGCGTTTTCCGGATCGTTCCGCCAAATTCACGTTCACGGAATACCTACAGTCGAAGCGTGTGCAGCGGCAAGCTCCTGGTGGTTACAAAGAAGGTGGCGCTACGTATGCTGGCGGAGTCGCTGCTCCACCTGCACAGTGCGGTAAGAACTGTTGATAAACGGCGATGAAAATCAGAAAAACGGTGTGAGCATGCGTTTTCGTGTCTCTTTCCTCAGTTCGTAAATCCCCTCCTCATTTGGCTCCATAGTCTACATCATCGTTTAGGATACTGTACATGCTATAGTCGCTGCAGAATCCCCAGCGTACGTCTGGAGAAATGAAGCGTGAAGGTTAAGAGTCCTCGCATCCGGACGAGAGAAGATGCAGGCTGAATTCACGTTTCTTGGTCGCGCATGACACTCATAAAATTTCATTCCAAATCAGCTAGGTGCAGAGTTTGAGAAACCCAAGACATGCGCAACGCATCGCCTCATCAGCAGCATTTTTTGCAATTGCACACTTTGACATTCTCTTCTGCTGTTGCTGCTGCTTCAGTTCATAGCGTGATTCTCCAGCTACATTGTTAGCAACTTTTCCAGTTGCTCTGGCCAATGCTGCATTGCCTAATGGTTAGTTTGTTGGCGGTTCTATCGTACGTTTCATCCTTAAAAGGAATTATTATTATTAGCAAAGTTTCATTTGCATGAATGTGAAAAATAGTTAAAATTACTGATCCTTGTGAAGGTATTTTTTTTAATGCCACTTTTACAAACATGACTTTTATTGCAGCATGTGCAGCGCAGCCGAATAATTGTCCGCCGGGCCCGCCGGGGCCTCCTGGAATGCCTGGCACACCGGGAAGTAAGTGTTGCTCATAATTATATATAAAACGGCATATTCATTTTCCAAGAAAATGAAAGTTCATCGATTCCTAAGCTCTTTGACCAAAAAATTTTGCGTTTCGGCTCTTTTTTCCAATGTGGCTTTAGCTTCCGCATTTTCAGTTCTTTTATATTTTACCCAAAATCCCATCTTTTGACTGAATTTTGCACTTTTCCAGCAAAATATTCCCCAGAATTACACAATTTTAAGCATTTTTTTATATTGTTCATGTGATTTTAGCAGGTCAGAACAGAAAATTGGTTGAATTAACTGGCGAGCTTCTTTAGGAAAAAACTTTAACTGAAGTAGCTAAGCGCAAAAAATGGTTGGGAAGTTAAAAGTCAGTTTTTGAACTGCTAATTTTTTCATCTTTCTCACTTTTTTTTCATAATAAATTTTGTGCAGGTGACGGAGAACCTGGACAACCGGGAAATCCAGGAGTAAACGGAATTGATATCGAATATGCACCTCAACTCGGCGAATACAAAACATGCATCACGTGTCCAGCTGGTCCACCGGGACCACCCGGGCAAGTTGGTCCACCAGGAATGCAGGGACCTCCAGGACTACCGGGACAGCCAGGCCCTGATGGGGTTGTGGGCCCTGCAGGACCTCCCGGTCCGGCCGGTGACGAAGGGCAACCCGGTTTGTTTTTGAATTTTTATCAGAACTTTTGCGACTGAAAATAAATGTCAGTTTGTGGGCAGATAGTTCTCTATTTCATAAGTGCATTCCGGGTAACCTAAACGAAGAAGTAGGCTGGACGAGAGTGAGGAGATGTGAGAATAAGACAGGGAGCACAGGAACATTTCTAAGTACCACTTCCGTGCATTCATTTTATTCAAAATATTTTTTAGGTTCTCCTGGACCAATCGGCCCACCGGGACCACCAGGTGCACCAGCAACAGTATTGTACGGTACGCCAGGGCCGAAAGGACCTGCTGGACCACCTGGACCTGCAGGTGCACCGGGAGGCGATGGCATACCAGGTCAACCGGGACCAATGGGTCCACCAGGACAGTATGGTCCGCCAGGCAACGATGGATATCCCGGAACAGATGGACAGCCTGG